TTATAAATTTTTTAATATTGAAAATTCAACACTTCAAAGGTGAATTTAATATATATATATATATAATTAGGGTGCCTCTAATTAATCTTAAGTTCCATAGTCTAATTATTAGCGAAATGAAATCATTTTAATAAAACAAAAAAGTGGGGAAATAAAGAGCATGGGAGTACTTGACATGCACTGTTATTATTATTATGCCGCTAGAAAATGCTATTTGTTATTTTTGCTTGTACTTGGTATTTATTAACAAAAGTACACTGTGTACGAACATAATTTTTCAACAAACGGGTCAAAAAAATTAATTCCACTGCCTGCTGCATGACCGCCAAACAATATCTTAAATAAATAAATAGTAACAGTAATAATTATCTTCGAATGAACCCCCTGGTTTCTTAATTTTTCTGGCCTTTTTTTTTATTTCACACTGTTCAGATCACTATAATATTTTCGTAGTTTTTTTTGGTTGGTTGAGGCATGAATGAAAGATGGTATAGAAATAATAATATAGAGGAGGCAATATCTAAGTTAGTGCTTAAAAGTCATAATTAAGGTAAAATGAGTGATCACAATGATTATGGATTATATATACTTTAGATTAATTTAATACAGAAAATGGAAAGCAAAAGCCGACACACACGGACATTCCCCCATCTGTAGTCTCATCGTTAATTTATACTCTTAAAATTATTAATATTAAATTTTGAAAATTAAATCAGAACGTATAATTTTTTTGGAGCGGCTTTTTTTGAAGAAACCGTGAAGGTTGGCCGACACGTGTCAGGGAACGGCATGCTGATGTCGTGGCATATGGGATTGTAGCAGTCTCCGTGGTCGCGCGCTTACCCAAGAGAATCCATGGGAAGCAAGGACGTGGTAGCGCACGTGTTTGGGATTTAAATAGTGGTTGGCTCTAAAGAAAATAAAGTAATCGCCCTTAAGCTAAAATTAAAAAATTGGATTAAAATAAATAAGGAAACAAAAGGTTTGTGATTTCGAAAAGATAGACGATAGATTGAGATCGCAAATGCACGCACATCAGCACATGCGGCGCACCTTTCCCTCCACTTTCGGGCTCACTACACGACGTCGTCTCTAATCTCCGCTCTCCCTCTCATGTCTTCTAGTCTACCGGGACAATACTGTCTTTTCCCATAAATCCCACTCTCCATACATTTAATTCTAAGATAGAAAAAATCACGGAGAATTACACATAAGTTTTATATAACATATTTAAATATTATAAGGTCTGTTAATAATTTAGTAAAGAAAAATGACAACATATTTAGCTGTATTTTTTCTTTGTTCAATTGTTAATAAATTTTATAATATTTAATTGTATTGTGTGTGATCTCTAAATAATTCTCTTGCCAAAATATTTCTAGTCTTATTTATGACCAGACATGCTATTTAGTTTTTGTTACATGTTTTTTCCATTATCACTATTAAATGTTCATGAATAAATTAAAGTCTGAATATATGATATTAAAATTTATTACATATTTAATAAGAATAAAGTTTTAAGTTTATTAAATTTTTAAATAGATCAGTGAATTAGAGTTTTTTTTCATAAAATATGTTATAAATGTCTTATAAATATTGAAATCAGAGGAAGTAATAGATTTACATTAACAAAGTAATAACACTACTTTCAAAATTTAATACATATATATATACTCACTTTTTAAATTTTTTTTGTGATCTTAAATTTAAGTCGTGATGCTGAAGGTCTAGCTACAGCATTAAAATCTGTTTGCTCCAATATCCTCATTAAGTGACATGGCAAACAAAAAAAAAAAAATCCTTATTGAGTGTGTTGTGCAATTAAGGCGTGCCATAGCTACTTAAATGAAGGCACACTTGGGACAGATGGTAATTCTGACAATTTTAATCTCACAAACCGTTTTTAAACTGCCATTGTAATTCCTAATTTTTTTCAATAAAAAATGACTTCCTTTTTATATTTTCTTTAATCCTATTTATAAATCATTTTTAATATGTTTTATCAAAATTAAAAAAAATTAAATTTTAATAACTTTATTTTAAAATTTAACAAGTTTTCATCTATGTCCTTGGTAAATTTTTTAAATTTTCTTATTGATATTTTTATTTAAAATATTTAATAAAGTTAAAAATGTAAAGGAGAGTATTAAGAATTAACAAGTGCATCTGAGAGTGGGATCAAATTTTTTTCTCTTCTTATTTTATAAATAAGATTAGAGAAGTAGATATCTATTGTAAAACTGTAATTTATAACACGAGGCAAGTGTAAAATGAAATGCTAGTAGTTACAAAATGTTCAAATGCTCTAGTATAACATGAAAGAAAAAAAGTTACTATTAATTTAGCAGCAAATTGTGGGATAGTTGAAGTTTGGAGCGTTATAAATATTGAATTATTTTTTGAAACTAAAATAATATTTGGATTGGGTGTGGTTTAATTGTATAAAAATTGACTTTCGTAAACAAATGAGAAAAATATGCACAGGAGGGTGATGAGAAATAGAGAAGAAAAGAAGAAGGTGGGGACCAGTGACTGGACCAGAGAGCTGATTCCAACGAATGCTAGTTGTCCATCACAGCTAAGCCCTTTTGTTTTCTCTTTCCTTAATATTCCTTCATGAATGCCTATCAACTTCTCTCTATTTGTTTTCAATCTCCAATATTAAAACCCTAATTCAAAATCACCACCATCAAAGCCTCCCTCACTCATCTCAAATTTAATTATATTTCAGAGTTTTCTGCCTGTTATTATAACTTAATCATGCCCTATATATTCTAATTATAGAGCAAAGTTAATTCTTTAAAAATATTTCCTCTAATCTTATTTATACAAAAAAAATTTAAAACTTTTTTTTTTGGGTCTTCAAAACAAAGTAAAGATATGGTAGTTAATTCTTCTCTCGATATTGTTCCTCCTTATAATTGCACCAACTACTAAGTGGTAATTCCTAGTTATATTTTGTTGCATGGTCATTCATTTTAGTAATGGCAAAATGGGAAAGTCAAATATTATTTACAAGTTTAAGAATATTAACTCTGTCATTTTTTATTTTTTAATAACCGTGAAGTTGATTAACTCTGCCCTGTAATTATGATTAGATGGGGGATAGTTAATATTCTTAAATGTGTAAAAATACTTAACTTTTCAATTTTACCCTTCACTAAAATAATAACTACAATTGAATGTGTGTAAGAATTATAGTTTTGGTGCAATTTCAAAAGAGTGATATTGGGAAAAAAAAAAGACCTAATCATTACACTATATCTAGAACTAAAATACCACATTAAAACGTTATCTAAATCTCACCTTACACTTACAATCTGGGCCAACCACAATTTATTTATTATATTGTTTGAGATAAGTTGAAAGGCACAAAAAAAGTAAGAACCTGGCATATGTGACCATTTTCGGCCAACATGCATAAATGATCATTCAACCCACGGAATTGAATTCAAAAATTTCCCCTCTCTGACCATTAAATCAGCTGGAATTTTGCTCACCAATCTCAATTATTCAACGTTTGTAAAATCAAATATGAACGACACAACATAGCATGTACTGTGTATTATTATCATCATCGCTTTTTTTACGTTTTTTTGTTTTTAAGATTGGAAGTGAGAGAGAAAAATAAAAAATGCCGACCAGGGGTTCACCGCTTTTGAGAGATCAGAAGAAACACAGAGAGAGAAGAAGAGAACAAAGGAATGACAGAAAGAGATTGATTACAATTCAAAGGGAGTGATTTGGCCACGAAAGTGAGATAGCAAAAGTCCTCGGCCTACTAATCAAGATTTTGGTTCAACATTAATCCAATGGTGACACATGCAAGCATAATTAAAAGCTTGATGTGATTTCCCCATTTTCATTCTCCTTTTCTTTTCTTTTCTTTTCCACGGGAATCCCCCCATATATATCATTATTAATGCACATCAGTTCACAATTACAAAAAGAGAGAAAAAAAAATAAAGAAAGAAAAATTTGAAATGATTATGTATAGGAGAATCTCCAAACAGTGTAATGCTGGAAAATTGTGCTCCATCAATTTCTTCATCTGCCGACCTGTCCTAATCCTCCACGCTATTCATTAATTCCTCTTCGCGCCCCCAATTAATTCAGATATTATTATTTAATATCCTCACTAAGCATGTTTATTTGACCGTAATTTACTTGATTTATGTCACCCGACAAAGGACGAAAAAGGGAAAAAGAAAAAAAAATTTGACAGGACAGTAAAATCAAAGGCAGCGAAAAGGGCACGAGCCGAAAACGCAAACAAGATTTGGGAACAGCAAAATGGAGCTAAATCCGCCTTTTTGACTTGAGCGTTTTGATTTAAACCGTGTTCGGTACTGGCAGCAATAATAATTATAATTAATAAATAATCGACTTTTAATGATCATAATTCTCTTTATCGTTACAGAAAGAACACAGCTGCTACGTTTGCTCCAAAATTGACCAGTCAAAGGTCACATCGCCTTGAGGTTAAGCTTAAGCCTCAGGTTAATTAACTGCCCAGGCCGAGAAAATAAAATAATCAGGGGTTTGGCTTTTTAATGATTCGTGTTGGACCAATCAAAACTCGCCGTTCAATGGTACCGCGTCGCAGGCGACCACAGCCCCGGCCGAATTGCACGAGAAATTGACCAGCCGATAATTTGGAATCAAAATCCGACGGCTCACAGAACGGATGGGTAACGGAGGATGCTTCCTTATCGCTTTCTCTTTCTTGCTTTTTACTCTGAGTCAGCGAACCGCAGAGAGAGGTGGGGAGAGAGAGAGAGATTTGATTCTCCCGAGTCAACACGTGGCTAGACCCGCGGTTACCGGCCACCGGCTCCATAACGGCGACTGGCACGGCGAACCTGTGATGGGCCCACCAACCACCGCCTCCGTCAGTTTCTTTCTTTCTTTCTTTTAATAATAATAATCAATAATAATTTCATAGCAAACAAAAAAATTAAGGAATTGTTAAATTATAAATTAGGATATGATTTAAGAGAGATAAGGCCATGGAAGAGGGGTCCTCTATTGAGATTTTGCTCCAAACCTTCATTTGGTTTTGCAAAGGAGAATTTCAAGGAGCGACGGAGAACCGAGAACGCCGAGAACGGAGAGGGTCTAGAGAGAGCGGGAGAAAGAGAGAGAGGAGTTTTCTGGGTGTATTTGTAATAGTGTGAGTTAAGGAGAGAGATTTGAAGATTGTTGTTCAATTTGAAATTTGCCGATCGGATTCTTTACTTTTTCTTCTTATCCAATCCGTAAGTCTGTTGCATTCTTATTCCTGGTTTTGTGCTTTCTTATGAATGAGAGGATTAATTGCTTATGAATTGGGTTTCAGTGAAGATTTTTAGAGATCTAACTAAATTTTGCTTTCTTCCGAGTCCGGAGGCAAAACGATTGCTGGGCTGTATTCGGAATTCAATATTTGATTTCCACATTGGAATATTGGACTTGTTTCTTGTCACATTCGATTCCGTCACTTGAATTCGTTGCTGTCAGTTCAATTTAAGTTAGAATTGTTTGTGGTGTTTTGCTTTCTGGTATATCTCCTTTGTTGACAAATTTGGTTCCGCATAAGGCATTCATCTTTGCGCCTGGATAATTTTGCTGAATGGATTCTGATCTGTAATCGTGTTTTTATTTCGTGTCGTGTTTTTGTTTTTAAATTTTTCGCCAAGCGTGAGAAGGGTATTTAATGTTTTGTGCAAATTTTCTGTTTCTGAGAAGAGGAGAAAAAAATTAACTTTTGAAACCAATTTCATTTATTGTTTGATTAGGTTCTTCATTTTGACCGAGCTTCTGGGGACTTGCGGTGCTCCGATTGCTCCTCTCTCTCTGCCGTTGAATTTGTTTCTTCCAATAAAGGCAGAAGGAAGTGGATTGGGTTTGACAACTTGTTTCCGCTTCTCGTTCTTGTCGCAATAGACATGTTGGACGGTCGTTCCTGTGTATTTTCGAGGTTGTTTTCTAGCACTTGCCCGGCAGAGAACAACTGGTCTTTCATGAAATATCTGCCGGAATTGGACATTAAAAATGGCAAGCGCCCATTAGAAATCGATGGCGAGGATGGACCGCGGTCAAGCAAACTTACCAAGATATTGGACCAAAGAGCTGAAGGAGTTCGGATTTTGCATGAGCAGCAATCTTGTCAGGATAAAGATTCATTGGACTCTTCTGTTATTCCCTCAATGGACCAGGACGGATCCAACATCCCGGAACAGAGGAAGCACTGTGAGCCATTCAAGGATTTCAGAAGAGTTGAAATGGCTGCAGCTGGCTCTAACCAACCCTCTGATCAACAAGAGCAGCATCATGCTGGCGATTCATCAGATTCTGTTGACTCTCAGTCTCATAATCAGCAGCAGGCTGGAGATTCTTCACATTCCGGTGACCAGCAATCTGATGAGCAGCAGCAGCGAGGTGCAGATTCATTGAATTCTGGTAACCAACAATCTGATGAGCAGCAGCAGCAACAAGCAGGGAATTCATCTGCTTCTGGTTCTCTTTTCCCACGCATGAACCGTGACAGTTCAATTGCCTGTCTCAGCCGCTGCTCAAGGTCTGATTATGGTTCTCTTGCCTCACTAAATAGGAGCTTTTGGAACTTAATCCGAAGTGGTGAGCTCTATACTTGGAGGAGACTCCATGGCATCATTGAACACTGGATTTATTTTTCATGTGAGCTCCTTGAATGGGAAGCTTATGATCCAATTCGCCAACGGTGGATGCATTTACCTAGGATGGCTTCTAATGAATGCTTCATGTGTTCAGATAAGGAGTCTTTGGCTGTAGGCACTGAACTTCTTGTATTTGGGAAGGAAATGACATCCCATGTCATTTACAGATACAGTCTTTTGACAAACTCATGGACATCTGGAAAGAGTATGAATGCTCCTAGATGCCTGTTTGGATCTGCAAGCCTTGGAGAGGTAGCCATTTTGGCTGGTGGTTGTGACTCAGATGGGCGTATTCTCAGCTCAGCTGAACTCTATAATTCTGAGACTCAGACTTGGGATGTTCTCCCAAGCATGAACAAGCCCAGGAAAATGTGTTCTGGGGTGTTTATGGATGGAAAATTCTATGTTATTGGGGGAATCGGAGGGCCAGAATCAAAGCTTCTTACATGTGGCGAGGAGTACAATTTACACACAAGAACGTGGACAGAAATTCCTAGCATGTCCCCCGGACGTAGTGCTAGGGGGGCTGAAATGCCTGCTACTGCTGAGGCTCCACCCCTGGTTGCTGTTGTAAATAATGAACTGTATGCTGCTGATTATGCAGACATGGAAGTCAAGAAATATGACAAGGTCAGAAAACAGTGGTCTGTCATTGGGAGATTGCCGGAACGGGCAGTCTCTGTGAATGGTTGGGGTCTTGCATTCAGGGCTTGTGGAAATCGCCTTATTGTCATTGGCGGACCTAGGACACATGGGGAGGGTTTTATTGAACTCAATGCATGGGTTCCCAGTGAAGGACCTCCAGAATGGAACCTGCTTGCCAGAAAGCGGTCTGGTAATTTTGTCTATAATTGTGCTGTCATGGGATGCTGAAGGATTGTATTGTCAAGAGTTACACACTATGATGCTTCAAATCCAGTGGGATGCACAACATTCATTCATCCATTGACACAGGATGTTCTTGCTAAATGCTAATTGGTGCCTTCCCCTTTCTTTCTGAGTATTTCCTTGAAAAGAGAGGGGGGGGAGGATGGGGGAAGAGATTCAGAGTTTGCTCAAGATTGGCTGATAAGTTTTACTGAAGGAGGTCTTGAGTCATTTACTTCTAGCTTTAAAATTTCAGTTAATATTTTCTTCCATTGAAATTGTATCTTCCCCCATTTTCCGTTGACATGAAATTTTCAAAAGTTGGTTTCATGCAGCTCAGAATAGGTTTAAATAATTGAAGTTCCAACACAATTGTAGGTTGTTAGTAGCGTTTGCGTAAGCCCTTTGAAGAACATACAACTAGATATTTGATTTGAAGATCATACATTTTCTTAGATTGAAATGACAAAATAATTTCTGTGATTTGTTTTATTAATTTTGTATTATGTATCAGTCCAATTTGCTATTTGAATTCAAGAATCATGCATTTTCAGCTTTCTCTAGTCTGGAAAGTAGCATATGATCAATTCATATCAAAATTATAATTCTCAATGGTTCACTGTTGACTTTGACGCAAGAGTTAAGACAGCAAAGGTGCACAAAATATGATTGTAGATTTACATCCTTAAAAATATAGAGACTTCATGAAGAATGTATTCCCCATACGGCCACACCTGTTGGAATGATAATTTTTGAAAACAATTGTCAGCAAAGGTGTTGGGATTCATGGGGAGAAATACAATTGTTTAATGAGTACTTGAGATGTTAATTACAAAACGAAAATCTATTTTTTGCTTAGGCGTTGAAAGAAAGTTTTGCGGTATCATTTCCCCATCATCACTATGGTTATTGAATGTTCTGCAGCTAAAAAGCTTATTGTCGTCTATGTAATTGCGTCAGCTATATTTGGATAACTCTATTTCTAGTTTCTTGTACATGTAAATATTGTTATCGATTGAATTATGGTTTTATCTGATTAGTTCTTATCCTATTTCATGTTTATCTTAAATCTTTCAATTGCAAGAATGTAGTATTGGTCCAAGCTTCCATCTGGCACAGCCGAGCTGCTTTAATTAGCCTGTTTGTTAGTTGCATCACCATCATTAGCCGTCCAATTCATTTTGATATCCGAAGTACATATATTATCACACTTGTGTTAAATCCACTCCTCAAAGATTGATGTATTTTGTCAGAGAAAGCTAAGAAGATTGAAGTAAATTGTTTTTAATCTTGACAAGGCAGATAGAAACAAGTAAATCCTGAGTATGACAAGTTTAATACACATGCACCCCCCGCTTTTAACTTTTTCTGTTTGTTGAAGACCATGGTGCCTTAATTTTCCCTTCAAGCAGACGCCCGATGTCGTTTGGACAAATCAGAAGTTATGATTGTGGATTTTGGAAATAAATGAGGATGGAAGAATAACTGAGAACCTTGATATAACGTGTCCTAAGAACAATTAGAAAACGCTGTTAAAGTTGTGGGGAAGCATGTGATAAAAATGAAACTCCAGGCTTCAGATTTCTCTCTAGCAAAGCAAGATTTGATTTGGTATAGTATGGATGTTAAATATTTATGAGATTCAAATGATTTTGGCTTATTTGGGAATAACTGGTTCCATAATCTAGTCTCTGCAAATTCATGTTTTTATCTCTTTTGCTCAAAGTTTTCTCACGTTGATTGGGAAGTTGAAAGATAAGTGTAGTACTACTTAAATAATTTAGATCTGTGTTAATTCTGAGGTTGCTTGTGATATCTGATCTCATTCTTCTAGCTGTTATTTTCTTTGGTTGTCTATTGTCTCGTATTATCATCATATTTGCTATCAGCTTATTTCTATCACCAAAACAAACTGTGCCCTAGTGTGTCTTTTCTTTTTTCTTTTTCTTGGTTATGCCGCAGCAAAATCTTTCCCCTTCCCTCCCCCCTCCCCCAACTTTTCCTTCTGATTCATCTAATATTTTTTTCGACCAACAGATTCATCTAAGATTTGAATTAGCCTTTTTGATATCATTTCCATTATTGTGAATTTGCAAAGCCTCCTTTAAATTCTCATATGGCATGGTACTTCTTTCATGGGTAGATTAAGATTATTGAGGCAATGAATTATGCCAAGACCATCTCAAGCTGGAGAATGGTTTGTGGCAGTAGGTTGATAAACTTAACTAGCACTAAAGCTTAGGGTTGTTACTCATTTTGATGCTTTAAGGTCCATTTCAGAGTTGTAGTGAAACTCGTTTTTAGTTTTCATTCATTCATCCATGTTTTTTTTCTTTGCTTTTTCTTTTTTCTTTTTGGAATACAAAGGCTATGGAATTAAACTATACAGGGGAGAAAACTATGATACTCGTTACATATATCATCAATCATGAGATTACTTCCCTTAAAAGGTGAATTGTCCATGATCGTATAATCGATGTCTGTGTGATGACTGATGAGCATTTGCCAGCCAAATGACCTGCATTTTGAGTTATCATGTTCGAAAGTCTTTGGTAGAGCAGAAGACTTGGGCTTGGTCTCCTACCACACTTTTCCCCCACCTTAAAAGGGACCTGGCTTGGTCTTTGAAAATTGAAATGTTCTGAAATAAGATGGCAATGTATTGTAGTTTCATTGTGCAGCAATTTCCACGCTTTTAAGCTTTCTCAAATCTCATTCTTTGGGCATGAGATATTTTGGGCTATATTGGATAGGACAAATTTCCTGGCTTTGAAAGGCTCAGGGTGGTGGATGCATTTTAAGCCCATGTTAACATTTGATTTAGTTATGGACAGCATCTGTCAACTTCAAAATTTTACAATGAATCCCGTAAACTTATATATACGTGTATCCAAATAACGCTTCTATCATTAATTTCAATAATTTGTCCATTAAAAAGATGTAATATGAGCAACACATATTTTAATATTTGGTGAATTATCTATACATGACTCAAATTTGAATGGGCTATTTTCATAATCATAAAATTTAAGTGGGTTTATGATTAATACTATACTATGTTCCGTTAATGAAATAATAGAGTAATTAACAGAGAAGGGTTATTTGCAGAAATTTAAAAGTTTAGGAGACTTTCGTGTTTAGTTTTAGAGAGATCAAGGAAGTTATTTGCAATTGTGAAGTTAATTTAGCCTAAAAATTTTGTTAATAACCATTATAGTCTATCACCATTTCTCCTACAACTTTGTCCTTACTCAAAAACTGAGCAAAGCATAAAATCACGTCAATTCTTACTCATCATGGATGCATTTTATTTCACTCAGATCCACTATCTGCTTTATTTTGTCAGTGCTGCACTTCTATTCAGCGGAGCCTTCTTTCACTAACATGCGTATTTTTGGTAAAATATTTGAATAATCCATCCCTTTTAATGATTTTCTTTTATACTTTATCTGATATCTGATGTGTGTGGAACAGATCTCTCTCTTGAGACACAGGACAGGAACCAAACTATGCCAATTCCGTTAGAGGATGAAGACGTGGTTTCCACTATGTCCCTGAAACTAAACTGAGGCATGTGAGGTGACACTTTATAGCTTTTCCCAAATTTATTTTCCTCTCTACAACTTTCCAAGGTGCCAAACAAGATTTGGGTTAATATCTGAAGAGAATCTTGGGGGTGGCCAATGGGTGTGGAATTGTTTGGGATTGGATCAAATCAAGGGCTGCTTATACTTGGAATTGACCACGAGGGAACAAAACAATATCCCCTGTTCAGTGCACAGAGGAGATGGCACATAACCAGCGTAAAGTGCAGTGCCAGCATATTAAAGGCTTAGTGGTGCTGTGGAATTTTGGACTCATTGATTGATGCCTCTTTTAATGGCTCTGATTTCATGTCCATCCACCACTCCCTCTCCTTCTACATCAACCCCACTTTCTTGTCTCCATTTAAGCCATCATCTCCAACCCCAACTTGTGATCCAACATGTTTTTTTATTTGCATTATTAGATTATCAGACCGAGGGCTTTAGACACAGAGAGAGAGTTCGGTTAATCAGAAAGGATGATATTTTATCTTGAGGTTTTCACAGTTACAGAAGCACTTGTTGATGATAACAGAATCTGATGATACTTTTTTCCCCAGAACCCCAACGTATGATCAAACAAGTTCTTAGATATATATATATATATATACACTTAATTTATTTATATATTATTGTATTATCAGGCAGAGTGCTTAAGAGATGCAGTCTAGTTGATAAGAGAGGATGATATTTTTATCTTTAGGTTTGTTGCAGAAGTACTTGAGAAGTAGAACTTCCGAGTAGATGAGCTAAGTCATAACCCAATGCAAAGAAGCTTGAACAAAATCTGATGATAACTTGATTTTGATATTTATTTTTAGGAAGGCATAGCAGGACAATTCAAAAACAAACACATGTGACATGTCAAAAGTGAATATTTTAAAGATAAATGTGAGCTTTACGGTTTATTCATCCATTATAAACGAATGATTTGTCCTTTCAAAAGTGCAACTTCACTTTGGTCTCTCACAGATAGACAGATTATGTGTTTTCACTGTCATTCTATGTGAAGTTGGTACTTTTCAAATAAAATTCTTTTATCAAATTGAAAAAACCTACGTGTGATCATTATTGATAATGGATTTATTTGAGTCACTAAATTGAGAAATACTATTACATGAGAGACCAAATTAATAAGACAACATAATATGTAAAATAAATATAAAAAATTAATTTATTTTTTAGGGACTAACAAAATTAAGAAATCATGATAAACTTTTACTAGTTTTTCTTTTTTTTTTTTAAATAGTGGTGGTGGTTACTCGATAACTACATTTTCAAGTTATATATGTTTAAGGTATTCTTGAAGTACTCATGAGATAGTCATTGACAATAACGCTTTCATATAATAGAGTTCTAATTAGTGTAGACAATTAATGATAATGCTTCCCACAACATCAATATTTTAATACAATGTTAGAATTTTACCAAATCTAGGCTTGTTTTGGGTAATGGGTTCTCCTATGAAGCATATTAACATATGAAAACACAAACTTTTTTAATTGGGATTGGCTTTCTTTTTGGCTGGTTTGGGTAGTGGGAAAAGATATGATAAGATATGATATTTGGAAAGGATAATTATTTGGATATGAAGAAAAAAGGAAAAAATGAATAGAGTGAAGAAATATGAAATATCAAAGACATTTTGATGAAAAGAAAGTGAGGGAATGAAAATTGACATGAACGGTGGAGAAACGTCCAGGAAGAACAATCATGTTTGCATGATTGCTTCAACCAGAAATATGATAGGTGGATTGTGGGCATGTGAATTTTGGATATGCTATTTCATTATTTCTTTAATTTGGGTTAAATTTTTCAATTCTCCTCAATATGCTGGTAATTATTATTTATTTACTTTCAGTGAATCGGAATCCATTGTTATTTAAGAATCAATTTCCCATTACTGGACCAT